AGCTAGGGTCCCCAGACCCCATCACTTCAGCTGTTACTCCAGTACTGCATGCCAGAAAGACTGGGGAGGGAGCAGGAGTTTCAGCTATGCTCTTTAACTGCCAGGACAAAATCATGGCTTGATCATGTCCCTTTATACTCCCTGTTGTTCTTCTTGCACCTGTGCTATTGGAGTTTCAGTCCAAGGTGAAAGCAAAATGACAGCAGAGACACAGTGCAGTCTGATAACCGAAGTGACAGCTGCTAAACAAAGAGGAGTTGTCTGTCTCCCATAGGTATCTGAAAACATACACTGAATCCTTAGGCTGATGCACTGTTCCTCTAGAGAGGCATACTGAAAGAAAATTTGGTTTCTCTGCCCTTCTGCAGAGCGTTTGGCACCTCGCTGAGTGACGGTACATTTGCTGTCACCACCAATGTGAAAATTCCTGTGTGGAAGCGTTTTTTGCTTTCGTAGGTATGTGTGCTTGGGTGCTACGAACAGATCACAAAATGATAAGGAACACAGCAATTACCAGCAGAGCTCATTTGCTATCTGCTATCAAGCCTCAACAGAGGAGGGAACATAGTCATCTGTGTGCCCTAATGAAATATGACAGACGTTTAGAGACCAGAGGCTGACATTTCCTGACAGCATCACCATCTGCACAGTGAAAGCTGCTAGTATCTGGACATTGTAATCTGTGAAGGGCTGTTTGTTATTGTACCTCCAAATTGCAGGTCACACAGATCCTGGAGGTATATGTCATCAGCTTTGTATGCAGTCACTTCACAACAGCTAGGCTCCTAATTCTCAGTCTCTCACTGTGCTCCCTAGTAAGATGGTTAATGTTCCAAGCCAGTAGCCTAAAATGTAGATATTTAAAAAGAAAAAAAAACAAACAAAAAACAATCAAAACAAAACAAAAAAAAAAAATCCTTCTAGCCTGTCAGCTAGATGGAGTTGTATAATCTGATTTCTAAGAGTAAGGTATTTTTCAAGGAAGCAGGGATTTAGCATATAGGATATACAGCAGTTTTAGCAGCTTCTGAATCATAATGTGGTGGTAGTTTCTACAATCCTACTTCTACACACAATGCAGGTACAGGGAAAACTGTTTAAAGAACAGAAGATGAAATAATGACAGGGATTTTTGCCTAAATCAAGGAAAACCATGTTGCCTCAGATATGTTGGAACACAAAGGTTAAAATGGGCTACAGGAATGATCCAGTATTTTTTTTACCAAGCATTTTTTTCAGAACAAGGAAAAAGGTGACCTTGAGAGGCAACAGTACAGGTTAATTGGAGTAAAAAAAAGCAGGCACACCCCCATCCAACCAACAAAGGGTGCAGGTTAACTTTAGCTTGTAGGTTTCGGTGTTCCCCTGCATTATAAGGCAAAGGAGAAAAGGCTGAAGGCACAAGTCAAGTTATAGAAGCATATGTACCAATGTGGAATGAAAAAAACTGTTTGTTTTTTTTTCTGAGGTCAGGTACCCTAAATAGTGGTCTTGAATTCCATATCTGTTTGGTAGAAATCTGGTGATTGCTTCCCTGCCTGGCAGTGAACACAGAGCACTCAAGGGCTCTTAACAAAACCAAACAAAGCACCAACACAGCCCCACAGAAGGAGGGAATTGATTCCACCTGGCAGAGGAATATTCCTGGTCAGGTAGAAGCCCAGTGCCTTCTGCAAAGTTTCATTTGCCAGAGCCTGGCTTGTGACATCCTTCTTTCTCATCCATCCAGCTCCTCTGAGCTCAGCAATGAGCAATTGCCACTTGACTCAGGCACTGAACCCTGAAGCCAGCTTTAACAAACAGAAGGAACAGTTTGTGTACCTCTCAAATACAGGACGCCTCCTGATGCCTCCTTGGTGGCATTCCAGTGTCTCAAATGCTGAGGAAATTTGTAGTCTCATGTTCTTTCACCCACTTACCAGAGGGAAGCATGGCATGGGGCTGATTTCTTTAAATTTGAGGGTGATGGAAGGACACAGAGGGTCCTTGCACCTCCGGTATCTCAGACATCTCTGTTCTCTGCACCTCTCAATTTGACTACTGTCTGGAAGTGAATGTCTGAAAATAAAAAAACACGAGGTTGAAAGAAAAGCCACAAAAGTAGCTCAGCACTGAGGGTCATTTTCCCACACAGTGCAGCTTCTCTTGCTCCCTGCAGGTTTCAGTGATCTAAACAGAAGAGGACAAGATGACCCCCTGTTCCTGCCTATGTATTTAGAAGTCTAGGGCTCAGTAAAACAAAGTGGGTGTATAGAAGTATCTGTAATTCTGGGAAATATGATCAGAGGAATTTCATGATCCAACGACATGTTTTACTTAAGGTTGCTGAACTGCATGCTAATGAACTTCTTCAGCTGGTGAAGTACCACCGCAGATATTCAGATCTGAAAGTCTGCTTTGCTACTACAGCAAGTAAAAACTCAAAACAGGTATGTAGTCTATGGGAAATCTGAAGTCAGCAGGACCTAGTGAACTGTCACAAGCCAGGTCAAACTGTGTCCCAGGAGCAGTTTTTACATTGGAAGCAAATATCACTGCTTTATGAGTAATCCCTCAGCAAGGGAAGGCAAGGAAGCACTAACACAGTTGTCCCCCTTGGAAATACTGAGCTGTGGGAAAGGGTTAATATCCCACCACGGAAGCAAAGAAGATTTATTATATTCACTCTCCCTGTTCTGGAAGCAGATGGCTTTCATAGCTCATATTGTGCCTAAGGATCTTCAGAATGAGCTGCCTCATATGAAAGAAATGAAGGGAAAAAGCAATAGTAGGAGGTATGTTTACTAAGCAAATATATGGCAAGTGCATCTACTATAGCAACTGGAGACAGGGGCTTCTGGGATGCATGCTCACATGGAATAGCAGATACTCATTTCTCAGGGCAGGAGCAAGTGGGTCACCCTGCCAAAGGACACAATTTAAAGTCATGCATGCAGCATTTAAGTCTTCAGAACAATACAGTACCACTCATTTTCCCTCAGGAGTTCCTTGCTCTAGTATTTTAGAATCAGTGTAGCTGGATTCAGTTTCCAGCTTGCATAAGAGTTAATTTTCTTTCTGCACAAGTTCTACACCCAGATACTGTCACATGTGAATGATTCGTGATGACCTGCACTGTGTGGCCTCCTGCTATAGGCAACTGAGGGAAAAAAACACAACACAGAACACCACCACAACAAAATCCCACGCTTCTTTCTCTTTAGGGCATTATTTATTGTTGCTACTCACCTTTAATGAAAGAAAAGACAAAAGCCACACCACAGTGTGTAATTCCACAGGGGTTCTAATCAAACCCAAACTAAACATGAACTATTATTGGTTTAGTGTTAAAACCAGCAAGCTCATATAACAAAATCCAAGTAGCAAGTCACTGGAGGAAAAGTTACTAAAAAAGAAAAGCTGCTTATGTTAATTAAACAAAGAAAATCTGCCTGGCAGACAAGAACAGCTTAGAAGCAAATGCATTTAAAATATGTATCTATTTCTTGGTGTTCCCCAGATCACTCAAACACAGCCAGTATGTGTGCTCATCCATTCAGTCTTAAAGGTTAAAGAAATTGTTGCTCATGTTGACTAAATCTGGGGCAGATACATTGGTCTCTAAAATCAAAAGCCCATGTTTGTCCACCAGGTTTTGTGAATGAAGCTCTGCAAGTAGAGGAAAGAGACTTCATTTGTGCTCCCTTTGAAAGGCAAGGTACAGCACAAATTAAAAATGTATTAGGCCTCAGAGAACCCCTTTGTTCTGGAAACCCCAAAATAGGGAAAAAGATTCTGCCAGAGCTTATCATGAGGCACCAAAAGACGACAAGGAAACCCATCCATTAGAAAGCAGGCTCCATCAGCACTGCTGCTCACTCTTTACTGAGTATCAAGTCAGGAAGACATTACCAACAGCTTGGGTTTTCCCCCTCACTCCCAAAAACTGTTTTAACATCTGATCCCTGTGTTGCAGTAACCCATTGAGAGAAATTAGGCGATGCCAATACTCATGTTTTCCTTAATTTCATTTCTTCTGAGACCTGAGTGGATAAGCAAGCGTGAGCCCTACATCCTTTCAAGAATATATGCTACCTCCTCTTATCTTTTCCCCTAATTTAGATTAAACTCCTTTAGAAAAGCTTTCAGTAATGACGTATTACCCCATGTATTTGACATTAGTACACATTTAAAGAACAACTGCAACATATTTCATGGTAGTCATTAAGAAAGTTGCACAGCTATTTTTATACAGTTACCATTGTAGACATACTACAAACTGAGAGACTCAACAAGTCACCAAAAAAAGAAAAGATAACATCAAAACCAACATGAGTAGGGACTATAAGATTCTTAGGTGCATTGTTTGCTATTGAATAAATATTCAAGGATTTCCAACTCTTAACTCTCTTAACTTTAATATTACCATTTCTATGCTTTTATTTTTATGACATAAAATTCAGATAGTTGTTTCTATGCCACAAGGTTGTTGTTTGTTTTTTACTTTAGAGCAGGGATTTTCAATGTAACCACACAGAAGCAAAAACTTCTTGAACAGTGGCATTTACTAATCTTTTACAACATCTGGCAGGTGAATTTCCATTATTTCCATTTAGGTGTTGCTGCTTACAGAGAATAGCACATGTATCATAATAAAATTGCGATAACCAACCCGAATGAAAACTCAGCAAGCTCAGTGCAGGATAACTTCAGGCACCCAATTCTTCTTCATGTGATAAATGTACTTTAACATGTTTATGCATCCTTCTACTTACCACTGATAAGTACTAAAAGGTGGTGAATTTGTTTTAAATATACATAGATACCATTTTGATTGTATTCTACTTTTCAGATATGAGTTATTGAGCTGAACAGTGCATTGATTACTACAAACCTCATGAACACATTGTCTATGTCATGTTTGTCATTGTACGTTTGTCATTGTTGTCATGAACACATAAGATTGTCTAATGAATCTGAAAATTGCTTCCCTTCTTTTGACAAGAGAAACCAAAGACATGTAAGATATTAAGATCTGAGATTTTTTATTTGTAATCAGACCTGTATCACATCTGTAGTAATTTCTTTCACCTCTGTTTTGTCCTGAAAATATAATCTGTCAGTGAAGATACCAAAAATACCCCCTTTCACCATGTAGTGAGAATATAACAAGCCAAAGGTAAAGTTTTTTTCTATGCAACTCTCTCATGTGCAGTACAGATCTCAGCTACATATCCTGGATGCAAGTGGTGTGCAGAACACCCTTTGTAAATAAGAAATACTAAATTCATGCCTTAATTTAGAGATATATACTATAGCTAGACACATTATTTGGCTCTCAGGGAAAACTATGCTATTTAAGCTACATCATTTCTTTTTCCTCTATAGGACACCATTGAAAACTTCCTCAAGGCTCTGTTAGGCTTTCCAAGATATTAGATATCTGACAACACTGAAGATGATAGGTATTATTTAATGTTTGAGCAATAGCATGTCCAAAAGGACAAGGACAGTGAAGCGATATTGTAGAAGAGCATAGTGGGAGGAGAGTGGAATAGGATCACATGAAGCAGTGGATCCAGCAAAAGCCTAGATTCACTGTGTTTTGAAATTCCTCTTTTTTTAACACTTACAAAAATAGGACATGCAAAAAATTTCCAGACTACACACAGATTATTAAAATAACTACTAGGTACATATATATGTAAAAAAAGGAGACCTATTTCAAATTTATGGGGACAAAAAGCATTAATAAAAAGAAAACTCCCAAGAAATGAGGATATTGCTGTTCTATAGCTCTCCTTCCTACAGCACTGTAAGTGAATCCATGGAAAACATCACTATGCACTATGAAGTGTCTCCAACAGGACTGCTCTCCATCCACTAGGCTTGCCTGCTCATTTGCCTCACAATTTAACCTTTACTCATGATCAGTTTTCTTAGGCTCTTAGAAGGCAAAGATGCAAAGAGCTACCTCCCAGCCTAAGGCAAATTGACAAAAAGACTAATGATAAAAAAACATATCATTATGACAAACATGCACAGGCCTCACGACACAATTAGTTCCACCTTTCAAAGTCTGCTTGGCTGGGAAGATTCACCCAGTGTCTATAGAAGTGAATCAACTGTGTACTAGCAATCCCGGTCAGTTTTCATTATCAGAGGATTCAGACAAACTTTAATCATGTTGAATTCTTCTTTGCACTTTTAAGCACAAGAAGATTGAGCTAAACCATCTGTTACAGTCAATGCTGTTAAATTACAAAAAAAAGAAAAAAAAAGGAACCAAGCACTCTTTAAAGACTTAATATTACAGAATGTGGCTATTCATGAATAAGCCTCCAGCCATGAGAAAGAACCCTGAAATTGTTTAACACAAGCAGTAGGACACAGCAAGTTATAACCAATTACTTAAACCAGTTTCTTTGAGAATCATCTGAGTAGAAAAGCAATTACAAAAGTTTGTCTCCTTTGCAGATCCTGTGTATCTGCTTCTCTGTATTTCTAGGTGTATTACTACAATAATTCAGTTGAATTAGAGCTATAAACTAGTCTAGAATTAAATATACTGTTACTCATTTCAGATGTTAATAGTGCAATCATCATTACAGTAAGGGAGCATAAAAGTGAAAGCTACATGTATTTAATTTCTATTTTCAGAAAAATCATGGACTTCTTCAGCGATATAGAGCAGTTAAAGGATAAGTTCTGTATTACCAGCTTAACACAGTGCTATTTAAAGTGAATCTATGTAACAACTGTAGATATCTGAAGTCACTTTATGCCCAGCAGGTGAGAAATATCTACCATGATAGAATTCAGACACAGTGTATTTCCATCCTTTAAGATATTAATAAATTCAAAACCTATTTTTAAGCCACTCCAGTCTTAATTTTCTGTAAACCAAGCCTCATCAAAGCTGCAAAACTGAAGGAAAAGCTGGCGGATTCCATTTCAGCACATCAGCTTCTCTTCTTTTAGTATCAAGAAAATTTAAAGGAATAGTTGAGGCACAAGTGATTTTTTTGCAGAAGTAAAGAAGTATTTCAAATAAGTAGGCTAAAACTTCAGTACTTCTTTTAACTTATTTAAAAAAAGACATAGACCATAGATCTATGATCACAGTCATAAATCACAGTCACCACAGTCATACTGGACTGCTTTTCCCCCCATCCCAAGATGAAGAAAAAAATTGGTTCACGGAACTTACCAAATCTACTTTATACTGCCATTTGAGCATAGTTCATGTTTAATCAAAGCAAAGTACAAACTCGTGCTTCAAAGCAGCCTGAAAGCATTCTGCTATTTCTTCAGTGAAGACAGCTTCAGTGAACCCAGTAACTCAAAGAAGAGTCCATCCAGCTGAACTGACATTAACATTGCACGCAGAACTTACATGAAAGTGCACTGATAACAAGCTTTTCAGAACAAGTCCATATCATAAAAGCTTGTGCTTGGAACTACTTTTATAGCTATGGTTATTGTTTCTGTTAAGAGGCACTGCATAAATATAGTCATCTAATGCACTTAGTATTTCTCAGCTGAGGACTATTGCAGCTTTACCCTATGTCTAGGTGTGATTATACTTTGGTTTACTTTATGACAGTAACATTGCACTAGCAATACAGCTGATACTAAAGAGAAGGCTGAAAACACACAGACTGGAGGACTGAAAAAAAACAGTCTTCTCCTTTACTTCTTTTCATGCTTCTTGGTTAATTTTCCTCTTTCTAGCTGGAGGCTTGTACTGCTGTTTGTTCTCTTCTCCTTCTGCTGGCTCTCCTGGGAAACTTGCTGCACTGCTCGGAGGATAGCAGTTTGCACAATCTGCTTGCTGGCGTTCTGCAGCTTAACTTCATCTTGCTCTGTCCCTGGCTTCTCACCTGCCACAGCCAAATGACAAAGAAAGGGAACTAAGCATTTGTGACTGCTCTCTGAAAATCTGAAAAAAAACCAACAAACCAAAACCACCACCAAACAAAAAAAAAAAAAAAAAAACCCACACCAAAACTCTCCCCCCCCCCCAAAAGAAAAAGCCCACACCCAAAACAAAACAAAACCAAAACTCAAAACCAACCATGGAGTGCTTGGAAACAGTTCATTACATAGGAAACCTGCGAACACAGAAGATGATGAAGTAGGGTAGATGAAGTAGGGTAGATAGTGCCTCCACATGCTCAGTGCTACAGGACTGAATGAAGGATACTTTGAGTCATAGAGCTGAGGTACCCATGCCTACTTCCCAGCTCTGGGGACAGCTGTGGCTCCACTGCTGAAACAAGAGCAGCTGCATTATGCAGTAAGACAGAGCAGGAGAGTTTTGTCATCCACCTGTGAATCATACCCTTTTTTGAGTTGAGCTGCGCTTCTGGACGAGGAATTTGACTTCATTTTGCAATCCTGACATGAACTTTTTCATCACCGTACAGAGAAAAACCTGTTTCATTAACATTTCTATTTACTTTTAGTTCAGACTAAAAGCACTCACCCATCAAATTCCAGTTGACCTCGAGGTATAAAACTGTGTTAAGTGCCAGTTTGTTAATTCTTAGGTCCCTAAAAACATTTGCAAAAGCATTTAAAAAGGCTCAGATTGCTGTAGGTAAAAAGCAGGAACACAAACACACATCCACAACACTGCCTGTAGCAGCAACCTGACAAATACATATTTCTTATGTGACACTTCCTTGTTTTGCTAGATAAAGACAAGGTCAAGGAAGGTGATTTTTCCTCCTCTGCTCTCGTTACCACGTGCAGTACTGTGCTCAGCTCTCAGCCCCCAACATAAGAAGGATATCAACCTTCTGACCCAAACCATTCTGTGGTTCTGTGATTCCATAATTCTTTGGGCCATTGAAACTATCAGCAAAATGAGGAAAGTTTACTCTACAAGAAAGAAATTATTATCTCTCCTGCTTCTTTGAAAGGGCTTAAAAATGATACTTATTTCTATCATGTTCATATTATACATGCTAAGGATAAAAGTAAAATACATATGTGATTTAATGCTACTGAAATTAAATAATTTAAAAAAATGGGATGACAAAGTTTGCCCACAATTAAGAGGGTAAACCCATGAAAACTTAGAAAACACGTTTTAAGTTGGAAAAGCTGACTGAATGGAATTACTTGAATTCTTGGCACAGTCAGATTCCCTGATTCAGTTTGTTCCACTCCTCAGCACTTGAAACAGTGTTTTTTGGAAAAATTTCAATGTTGCTTAACAGTAAAGTACACATATTTCTTTATTACTCAAATATGAACTCACTTGGTATTACACAATGAATTAGTCTTCTTGCAGGTCTGAAAAAGACCAGCCAATTCAGCTGATATTCAGAAGATAATATATTAACAAAAGCATGGATAAACAGGAAATTGTAAATAAAAATGAGTATGCTGCAATGGATTATGAGATTATATGAAATGTGAAAAATTTGTCAACCCCTATAGCCATAAACCCCTCAAAACTTATTACAAAAACATACTGTCATTAAACACATTGCTATTTAAAATTAGTTTTCTCTCCTTAGGGATGCTTGGTTCTTGACAATCTACAAAATCTGAACTTTAAATATTTTTACATTAGGAAGGTCATCCACAGCAACGCCCAGTTGAAAAAAATGATAAGTTTTAGTTTTCCAGTGAATTTCTACTCAAGTTTTCAGTCATTTATCATGGAGCAAAGCCTGCCTGAAATCATCACTCAGATAAGTGAGACCTACATTATGTGTGCCCAGCTTGAAATCATTAGATGACTCTTTTTTTTACTGGGAAAACATATCAAGAACAAAACCCCCAAAATATCTGGGCTATTACTGCCCTGATGGTTTAGGTATGCACAGAAGAGAAATAAGGCAGCTCAAACAAACTTAAGAATTTTCCACCTGTGTAACACATTTAGGCAGATAGTATCACAGGTAACAACAGCTAATTGGCTTTGGACATGGAGAGAGTCAGAAATGTTGGCCTGGGGTGATACGCCAATGAGACCATTGGCAGTTTATGCTGAACATGCAGATTAGAAAGCAACAGTGGAAAAAAATAGCCTTTTTTGAGGAAGATATCTGACACTGTATGGAGGTCTAAGCCTGCATTAGGGCCATTATGTGTAAGAGCTAGACTGCCAGCCAGGATCCAGACATGTTGAGCAGTCAGACATGAACATCCCGCTCCCCCAGGTGTGTGGTGTCCATCACAGCTGGCCCATCTGGACATGCCTCAGCTAATGATTCTAGATTGGCTCTGCCTGAGCAGGAGTTGGACAAGACAACATCCAGAGGTCCCTTCGAATCACAAGCCTTCTGTGCTCTAGCTGGTGAGGCTGCCATAAACTCCAACTTTTCCACTTCCTGAAGAAGTAAATGTGTCTGGAAGACCATCCCCACTACTTCCTCTTCAATTATTCCTTTCAAGAACAGAAAATAGATTTGTGCTAAGTGCTGAGAAGGTCATTTATTTACTGATATGCTGGCACTACTCTTGGCACAAGAGGAATTTACTAAGGAAAACTGAGATGACTCATGTAAGGATCCCAAAGGGATCACGAGCTGGAACATATCTATCAAACTGCAAAACCTTGCTGAAATACAGACTGCTGTGGATATAAACAAAGGCATAAATCTGAGTGCCTGTAAAATTCATCAGACATTTTAAGAACTGACTATTTTCCATTAGGTAAAACAGAGACATCGCTCTGTTGTCTAAGTATCTAGTGTTTAGCTAATCAGAATAAGAGTTACTAAGGTGATAAGATATAGCTAATTTTTACCTTTTTTTTTTTTTGAGATTTGAAGAATAACTAGCTTTACTAAGATTTCATTAAACAAGGTCATTTGAAGTAATTGCTGGGAAAAACTTGCAGGATACAGAAAGAGCATTCTGTCTACTAGTTATCCTTATCTAATGACTACTCTTTTTCGCTCAATGACAGAAAATCTTTTCTACTTATTCTCCATTTTTAAATGCTCACCTAACTTACACAGGAAACCAGCACCCTAATTCTGCAAATAAAGAATGGAAAAATGCAGGTTAAGTAACATTAAACTCAAGTTAGCAATTTTACCTTAAGACATGACAAAGTCTCTTTAGCATGTTTTTAGTACCTTGTCTTTCATTTGGGGAGTTTTACACCAACTAACATAGCAGATGAAAACTATTTTGTAAACTCCAGCCTGGTTCCACAATCTAAAGATTAGTTTGAGAGATTAAAAAAAAAGACAAAACCTCAAAATTTTGGACTTACTGCAGGAATCAGTCACATATTTCACTTTTATCTAAAACTAGTGCCATGTATCAGTACCTTGAAATTCTCTTGGCTCGCTTGAAGATGCTTCCCATGAAGGAAAATTCGTTAGCGGTTTGGAAAAAGAATAAAAGTATTTAAAGTATATTCCAAATATTCATCTCAATTACTAGAACTAATATTAGTTTAAGTCCAAGAACACCTTGTATAGGAGACTACATTCTCTGCAACGTTTGCACTATGGAATATGCATAGAAAAGTATACAAGGAAAATGCTAGCTACAGAGAAATAGCATTTAGCACAGCTTAAATCTTGAAAAACTTCACTCTCTTTGCACATGGAGCTTTTTTATCGTTTACACACCTTACTTTCTTCAAAGCATTCTGAGTCACTTCCTTTTCAGATTGCAATCAAAGTAGTCTCCTGCACTTCCTGTTGATATACCCTATGCCTTTTCCCTTTCAGCTTGCTACAAGTTAAAATTAATGTTTTATAAACACTCTTGCTAAGTAACACTTAATAACAGGCAATTTTTATGAATCAGCAATTAAGTTTTCTACCATATCTTTTCATAGGACAGTTCGGAATACTATAATGAAGCTAAACTACCACAGGCATGATTTTGCTCTTGCAAAGATGCAAGTCCATCCTAGATCCACTATTGGTGGCAATGAACTGTGGGGGGATGAGACACCTTTCAGTGAGTTCAGAATCAGTGATTTAGAAGGAAACAGAAGCAACATTTCTGACATGAAAAGAGATCAGGGGCTAAATGGCGAATGAGCTGTGGTAGGAAAGAACTTTGAACTCTTGGAAAACATGGACTAGAAATAATCTATCTCTTACTTTTTGAGAAAAGATTAGTCATTTGTGAGCTTGCATTACCATGAATGTAAACCGTATCTCAGGAAACTTCTCTTGTTCCTCAGTTATTCCTTTTGCTTCTTCAGCTGTGTGACCTTACTGCTTTCCCAGGAGAAAAATAATGCCTTTAATTTTAAGTCACCTTTTTTCCAAGTATGTGACATTTATGCAGCTCATCATGTCTTCCTGCAGGGGTTAGGTCTCATCCTGCCTTGAGGCACAACACAAACATTGCATTTGAAGAGAACAGCTCAGTTTATGAAAGGGTTCCATGAATCCCAAGGGCCATGCATCAGAGATCAAAAGTTTATGTTCTGCTTCACAGGAATAACAAATGCAGTTTAATTTCAGCAAATGAATACCACAAAAGTCATTCTGGTAAAAATGAAAATTTTGTTTGGCAAAAAGCTTTGAGCTTAAGCACACCTAAAGCTAACAGAAAAAATCACATTTCTCTAAGCAAACTTCTGAGCAATTCAGAACTCACTATTACCCAAAATGTATTCCCCTCTTAGCTACAATTTCATTTTATGCAAAATTTCTGCAGCTGAAAGAGCCATGAAGCAAATATTTTTTCTTCATTTTTACATGAAATTCAGCAGGTATATCCTTTAACTAGAAAATTTACTATTTATTTTATTAATATATTGCTTTGGATTGTGATACTTAACCATTATACTATTTTCATAGAATCATAGAATAGTTAGGGTTGGAAAGGACCTTAAGATCATCGAGTTCCAACCCCCCTGCCATGGGCAGGGACACCTCACTCTAAA